CCTCGTGGTGAGCAAAATTCTGCTCCCGTTTGCCACTTTTGGGAATGCTGCTTTGAGAGCATACATGGCTTGGATTGACAAGACTCCATCCAGAATTACAAGGTATCGCTTCGGCTCCAAGAAACCATGCAATTTATTGATCCAGTGTTCTTTTCCATCCCCTTTCTCTTGGGTCTCCAAGACCTGCCTTCCAACACTTGCCAAAAGTGCATATTCATCAGAATCTTGATCAGCATCAGGCATGGTCACCCAACGACGGATTTCAAAACGGTTTGAAATAGTACTATGGTAATAAACTTTCTTCGCCAGAGTAGTCTTACCTATACCCTTCATCCCCACAATGGATATGATAGGACGACACTGTTCACCGTTATCAGCCAGTCTCATGACCAGTTCATGTATGTCTTCCTCCAAACCAACAACTGAGCATAGCTCCTGCCTTGCCTCAATGGAATAAGCTTGTACGCATCTTTGAAGAACATTGACAGTGTAATTGATTCGGGTAATTTCTGAGAGAAGCTTGGACCCTGAACCTTCATTATTGGGGGTGTTTGAGGACTGCTGATCTGCTTCAGGAACCAGTTTCTTCAATTGCTCCAAGCAAGCATTTCTTAAATGAATAGCATAATCTTCAGTTCCTTTTGTACCTTTGAGAAATGTATGCATCTGCTCCAACTCCTCGCTCAGTGCGATGACGTTAGATACTAATTCGTCGCTTGTGTTTGCCACTTGATTCAGCCAGTTACGAATGTTGTGCACCGCAGACGACAAATCCATATCATCTGTAGCCTGATACTTGAAGCTTCCTTGTTGAGTAAACCGGTTCGCAGATAATTTTGAGGATTGTCGTCTGACAAATTTAAACCCATATCTTTCCTTTGTTTCCAGGAGGTCGGAGATCCAAGTGCCGACGTCCAGGATGACCTCCTTAAGCTTCCGCCTATCCCTCCGGTTACTGACAACTGAAAGCCACCAACTTCTCTGATCTGCTTCTGTAATGTTTATGCTGTCAATGGCCTGATTTGCTTCCTCGATGGTCTCGTTTGCTTCCACCACCCAGGACTTCTCCATTTCAGTTTCCAGTCTGAGGGGTTGCAAATCTTTCATGAAAGCATGCAGCAGCTCTAAATGCATTGTGGTACTAGAGTTGACGAATTTTGGGTTTTCAGCGATCAGGTTCTTTATAGAGGAGATTAATTCCTCAGCTCTTAAGCTAACAGGCGGACCGGGGCCTGGCGTGGACTGCTCCAATGTCTCACCAACCACAGATCTGTCCTGCAGGCTACTAACCCAGGACCTGGACTGCTCCAGTGATCTGTAGATGTCGCTGGCACCTATTTTCTTCTTCCAGAGGAGACTATTGAGCGGGTTTATACTGGGGTCAACGTCGAGTTTCTTCTTGCCAAGGAAATGATTGAGGCCCTTCATCCGAAGGGCAAGCTGAAGCATCGGTACCAGATCAGTTAAGATTAAAACAAACCACTTGGGAGAGGTTCTTCTGTTTTCCAATATTCGAACACACCGGGTTGCCTCGGAGGCCACTTCTCTTGCTTTGTTCATCCACCCTTCCTCCCATTCATTCAATACTCGTGCAGTCATCCCAGCTTGGATGAGTTGGGGATCCAAAAGCTTATCATTGGCTTTCTGTATTATTTCATTCCGCGATCGCGAGACATAGTCAAAGTCTTCGAGAAGAGCAGCTAATAGTCTGGATTCTCTTCTAATCCACTTGTACTTGGCGTTCAAGTATCTGAAAGTAATTTCAGATGCAGCAATTGCAACCACGTAAAAAGCAAACAGGATCCAACAGGTGATGTATGCAACGGCCATTTCAACCAAATACAGACTTAGTTGCTCTTGTTCATAACCAGAAATGAAGATGAGCAGGCCCTGTCACATCCACCATCTATCCCTGATTTCATTAAGCTTTTCCATGATGGAAACTGAAGACATTAACTTTTGCAACTTTACAGGGGTCCTAATGTGGAAGAAAAAGTAGTATGTATATAAACAAAAGGGGAACCTGAGACTATAATAAACAAAAGTTGGAATTTGAAGCTCTAATGAACAAGTCAAGTAGAACCCACGAGGAGGAGGAGGAGGAGGAGGAGGGTAAGGCCATGGAGAAATTGCAATTCAGTAAGAACTTTGAAGTCTTCCCATGCTACCTCTAGATAAAAGTAGTATATAAACATAATTTCAGGGCAAAACCCTTTTTAAAGGAAATTTCCTATTGAGAAGAGCAATATTATACTAAACTCACATATGCTACACGGATGCTAGGATTCATACCCATCGCCTTTCATGAGGGAAAAATTGCTCCAAATCACTACACTAGTGGGTCTTTTGCAGGCAAAACCCATTTTTGGTTCCTGTAATTTGATCAATTTCCTACTTTTGTCATTATTAATTCAATTTTAACAATTTTAGTCTTCAAGTTATGTTTAATTAGCAATTAAGTACTATGAATCTATATTGTTAAAAGAATAGGCAAAAAGTTTAAAGTCAATGATCACATGGTTGATTGCAAACTTGTTGGAAAGACAAAAATGTTCTTACATGGTGATTGCATATTAATTACCATCAAACTCCATATATTAAATTGTCAAAATTGAAATTATTATAGGGATTATAAAAAAATGCAATATTAGTCAAACTATAGGCAGAAAAAAGTCATTTAGAAAATATAGATCAAGCTTCCTTGTATTTTATTTTTTTATACAAGTGATACTCTACTTTAATCTAATTTAAACTGCGGAGAGGGGAATTCGAACTTGGGTGTAGAGTGAGGAGCACATCCACTCTACCTATGTCTGTTTTTTATTTTTTATTTTTAGTACAAGTAATTGGGGGTGGTGGGTTTACACAAATATTAATTGAGTGTCTAGAGGTTTCAAATCTATGCCCACATGATTTGAGGTGAAAGAACTCAAAGCTATACCCAACTGGCTTCCTCGTACTCTTTAATCTTTATAATAATAATTTAATATATCATTTTGTGGCCTTTAAATTTAATCACTTTCAAGGGTGGTGATGAATGATCACATAGTTATTTTTACTTTAAAATTAAAAGAAAATATAATCAATTACTATTAGGCGATTGACAACTTTTCAAGTTAGCTAGTAAAACTCTTTTTTTTTTAATTATTTATAAATATAAGTATCTCTCGCTCGCTCTATCCTTTTTTTTAAATATAGTAAAACTTTTCACAAAAGCTCAAGTGACAATGACTTTCTATCTCACATCTCTCGCTCTATCCTTTTTTTTCTTCTCATGTCTCTCTCCCTCTCCCTGTCTCTTCTATCTCCTCCTTGAAACTCTCTCTCTCTCTCCATTTTCTTTTTCTTTCTTTAAAATCACTTATTTCTCCTTTTTTTTTTTCTTTAGATCAACAACTATTTAAGTCCATTTTTGTCAGATCTCATCACTCTCTCTATCTCTTCATTTTATAAATCTAGGATTTATTTTGAATGGTTGGCTCCATTTAATTTGGTTTGGAGATGTAACCAATTCAAGCTGGACCACGTTATCATTCCTAGAAAATTGGGGAGGGAGGGGATGGGTTGGGGTGTGGGGAAACTCACTAAACCAATAGTTAATAGAAAGATATTAGTTTAAACAACTGAATGACAATTTAATACATTGACTTAAGACTAGGGATGGCAACTAGGGATGGCAACAGGCCGGGTAGGGGCCGGGTATGGCAATACCATCCCCATCCCCGCCCCCATCCCCGAACCAATCCCCGTTTAATAGGTTTCGGGGAATCCTCGTCCCCGTCCCCGTCGGGGGACTATCCCCCATACCCGGCCCGAATCCCCGATTTTTTTGCATAAAAAATATTATCATACATTTTAACATTAAGTTTCATATTAAATTATCATTCACCACATTCAAATTAACTATAAAGTTCAACTCAACTATTCAAAATCACATCAATATGAAAATCCAGAGAAGATTAGGAAGAATTAGGAGAGGGAGGTTAACTTAGGGTTAAACATAAATATTATAATTATATATTTATTTATTGAAATATAAACATATATATTTTCGGGTCGGGTTCGGGGATGGGGACGCCAATACCATCCCCTCCCCATACCCGTCGGGGGTTTTTCAAGTTCGGGGATCCCCGTACCCGATACCCGTTTGGCCCCGAAATCTCCCCCCGTTAGGGTCGGGGACCCGACGGGGACCTGTCCCCGCGGGGATTTTTGCCATCCTTACTTAAGACAATTGACGAAGTAAACAACTCAACATCCATTAAAGAAAAGTTAACAACTTAGCATTCAAATTATAGTACATGTTCCAGCATGTAAGAATAGATCGAGCTTTAATCAGATTATAGTATGTAGATGCATACTATTTTCCCCAAATAATATTTTCTCGGGCAACAAAAGGACTCATCATTATTTTTCTTATTAAATGATATAGCTGCATCCACTAATAATAATTTAGCTAATGAACGTTTACCCTTCAAAGGACAAAAAAGACTCAACATGCGCTTTCAAACTTTGATTTGTTGTCTGTTCATTCACATCCGATGTTCTAGCTTTCAGAATCATAGAATTAGTTTATGGACACTGCTCATAAAGGATACAAGTTATAACATAATTGTGTTCAGTATAGGAACAATCGTATTCATGTCCAAGTTGTGAAAATTCATTTGGCATGAAATTGTCTGCCTGCCTAATCTGAAATTGACATATTTCAGTTAGAGGATGTCTCGATTTTTGTAGCCGGACATCCTCTCATTACAAGCGATGAAATTGACCGGTGGATTCTTGATCGGCCATGGACTGAACATTTTATAAATTCAAGCAAAACATAAGGCTACTTACTTAAAAGCAAATATAGAAAAAGAGAATACAACTATAATCAGAGCGTATGGATCACGAGGGTTACTGCCAAAGAGAAGAATGAGACATGTCTTTTACTAGATAATATCATGTTTCTGCTATCCAATTTGAGTTTGGAGAATATCTTGTTGCTTATATCATTTTCACCGCACATTCAATACTATGGCCTTTTGAAGTTCGAAAGTTTGAAGTTGTTCAGTTAAACCAAGATGTGCCATAAGAAGCCAGACATGAGTGAGCAGCTCTCCCCCATGCCTGAGTTGCGCAGCGTGATGATTCCATCGACAATGGCTGGCAGCTGAAGATAGCATTTCCACCCAGACGTGGCTGATCAACTCCCACTTCTTCTGATTCTCCCAATTTTCCTTTGTTTCCAGGGATTCCAAATCTTTAGCAAGCTTGCATGCATCAAATAGCACTGACTTGCTTTCATCTCCTTTTACTTCAGCTGGAAGGATCTCATCACTGTTCACCTCACGTAGTTTTTTGCAAGCCAGGTCATATTCTGATCTTTGGCATCTTCTTTGTTTGAAGAATTCCGTGGCTTCGGCGCATGTGTCCTTGAACCTGATTTGTCCGATCCCATTGGGCAGCATGAAGGGACGCTTGACTAGGAGATACAAAATATACTCGGACAACAACTTGCTGGCTTCACAATTCGGATCGGGGAAAGAGTTTGGGTATGTTTCCTGATCAGAGTAATAACAGAGTTGTGTTGCAATATGCCAAAGAAGAATGCTGAGATCAAATTCTTCTCCAATGCTCCAGCCAAGTTTTTCGATACAATTCTCATTTTGAAGAACCCAATCCATCCTACGATCCCTTAACTTCTTGTAACCTTCAGCGTTTGGGGCACATGTTGATTTCTTTAACAGCTGCAGAAATATCAGTTCCTTCAACTCTCTAGGGACTTCCACTAGTTTCTTCGATTTTCTGCATATCCCGGAGACCTTTTCGAGGAACCTGTACTTGGCCCGCTTATCTTCACAGCAGATTGAAATTAAGTTGTATTGTGTAATTACATTAGACCACCTTTTGTTTTCAGCTAACGGCATATGTGAAATCACTGGATACAACAAATGTGCTGCTATCTTGTGCTTACAAAACCATAGCACTGCCCAATCTGAGCGTAGAAATAAAATCACAGCATAGAGCTCGAGGATGATAGCACCAGCCAGCAACACATAAGTGATAATTAGACTTGGTGCTGAATAATCTTGCTTCTCGATCATGACCAGGAAGGTGACAGAGACGGAAATGATGGAAACAAAACTGGTAAAACGAAGAATTGCGCCGTTGAGACTATAAAGGACAGCCTTTGTATAAAACAAATCATACATGAACCCAAGCTCAATCTCAATCACTTTGAAAGCTTCATAGTAGGATCTGTTCTGGAAGAAGGATTTGCTTTTCAAGATATCATGGATGCTGAGGATGAGATCTGCAAATAGCCTCTTGAAAATGTTGAAGAAGACATCGGCATGTTGCAAATTGGCTGTATTTGGAAAGATGCTTGGAGCTGTAAAGGAAAAATCACCAATGGTGGGAGCCTCATCCACTCTCTCTATGTCAACCTTGAACCCTTCACGCTTCTTCGAGCGCAGTTCTTCCGTGTATCTAGCATAGTTGGGCCCTTGGGTCAGGACGACGAAACATAGAATCTCTGAAATGCTTACTGCTTGCAGACCTCAAAACCCAAGTCCGCTCCGCAAACTTGATGATCCCTGCAACAAACACTGGAATTGCAAGAAGGTTAAGCGCCTGACCAGCCCAGGCTGTAAGAAAGACATAGACAGCCAGGGACACCTGGACAAGGAGCACAAGCAAGTGCCTCCACCACAACTCATTGTCTTCCAAAGAGTATGCAGTGATGGTGTCCGGGCCGCCAAGGTGAAGCAGAAGAAACGGCGCCCAAAATGCTGTCAGGATCTGGTCTTGGTCGTCTGCATTTGCGGAATTCATATTGTGGTTTGTTGATGATAAATTTTTGGAAAGGAGGCTGAGTGAGACTGTTGCAACCCAGTCTGCGGACAAGTAGGCAAGCCACAGCAATCGGAGCCATTTGCTGGTTGAGTACTTCCTCTTGTTGCCAAAAACTATGAGAATGCCTTGTAAGATGAGGCTCAATACCACCATTACACGGATTTCCCACACACAAGCTCCATAGTTTGCTCAGACTTTCTGGGAAAATCTCCGTCATCACCTTCCTCTTCTTTGTATGGATGCAAATTGAACTGCTAATTTAAATACTCATGAACATAAAAGGTGTCTTTATACAAATTACATGGAAAGAAAGGAGAAACTAATTGTCAACGTACACATTGCCTTAAAGTATATATAAAACTCAAAATTAGGTGGAGATGCTTAAGATTGTTTATATCATTAAAGGCAAAGCTTGTATTTCCGATATAACTCTCAACAATAAGTAACTCTCAGCAGTAGTTTTTGGGTCAAGGACTACTCGGTCAGCACTCATTGAGGCATCCTTTAAATAGAGTTTATGTGGGACACAATGTTAGGGCCCAATTGGGTATTCAACAATCCCAATCGCTTATTTTCCACATTTCCCTTTCAGAAGATTTCGATTATCAATTTTTTAATGACGAAACAATATATATTTTGTTCGAAAATAACCGATACTCAGAAAGGTAAAATTGAACACAGAAAGTTGAGTGCAAGGTAAATTCTTTTGATCACTTGAGCTAGAAATCTCTTGCAATGAAAAAAAAAAATCTTATAATGCTTTTTTATATAACTCAAAGGTAGAATGAAGATTGAATGCTCAAGAAAATTATGTATTTTGGTTATTAATGTACCAAATCCATTAAACCCTAAACTTATTTAGTTCAAAACCAAAGACAAAGACGCATCAAACCTACTAAACTGGATTGGATTGTCACAAGAAAATCCCTCATTTGATCGAATCATGTTGGTTTTTGAACTTAGAGATCCAAGTCAATCTACCAAAATCATCAACCTCGTGATCAAATAGGATTAGATTAGATTTGATCGATTGGCTTGGTTGGATTGAATTGAATCTTGAACACCGGTAGATTGGGTGTTGTAATGTGACCATGTTGATCATATTCAGGCTCCTAGCATGAGGATGTGTGACGCTACAATTTATATATGCTAGACAAAACTTGATGCATTTCTTGTGATTACGTTCATAAATCATGTAAAGGTATCTTATTAATTACCCAAACCTGCTCATTGTTAACCTTCTAGGGGCAAGAAACAGATAAGAAACAAAGAAACAATAATCTCAATGATTTATTCTCATCTTTCTCACGATGGATAGAACATATCAAAGTAAGTAGTGATGGTCAAGTTGTGGCAGGATCTAGTATCTATGTCGCGAAGATTTTGCATTGCTCCGTTTTGCACTTCCATGATTTCCAGGGTATCTAAATTCCAAAGCTTCAAAAATAAAAGAAGGGGAAATCCACCTGTGCAGCAAACCATCTGTGTTCCTAGATAAGAATCAGAGTGGAAAGAAAGGGATCTAAATTTCGGAAGCTGGCCTAGCATTGGCATTGGATCATCTTCAATTCTAGTGGCCGATAAGGTAAGCTGGGTGAGGCTTTGCGGGAGTTGATATATGATGAACTGATTTTCAAGCGTCCCAAACAAATGTAGGCTGGACAGATTCGTAAGGTGAGAGATGGTCTCTAGTTTCAGATGCTGAGGTGCCCTCTTCTCATCTATTGATCTCAGCCTCAAAGATTCTAGGTCAGTCAGCTTCTCAATCCATTTCGCCACTAGCATTTGCTCTGTCAGTGCAAGATTGAATACCAAAGCCAATTTTCGAAGTTTCGTCAACTTGTCCAGACGATCCTTCAGAGGATGGCCCTTCTCCACAAATAGGCCTGATAATATCAGCAGATTTTTCATCGATATCATGAAAATTGGTCGATGTATTTGACAGTTCTCGTTCAAGTAGAGATGCCGGATTTTCTTCAGCTTCCATATTGAACTAGGGAGTGTTCTAACATGGGTATGCTTCAAATCTAGAGTTATGAGTTTCACCAAGTCCCCAATAGATTCAGGGATCGTCAATAGGTAAGTTCGCCTTAATCCCAGATATGTCAGCTGCTTTAATTTTCCAATGGTCTCGGGCAACTTTGGTCTGAACACACGTTCAAGGTCAAGAGTTAGTAGTTTTCCGAAGAGACCACCAGCAATGCCCCTACTAATAATTTCACCTACTTCCTCTCCAGGTTTGATTTTTGCTCGGGCATCAAAGAAGAGAATTGATCGGGGAAAGCTTTCCTTCAGCAAAACATTTCGCCAATTTGTGTTGAGACCATGAATTTGACGGGAACTGGTATCGTATGTATTACCATCTTCAGAATCATGAAGGTTATGGTTTCCGTCCACATTACTTGTAGGAGAAGTTAGAGATGACCCTGAACCTGTTTCGCTGCTATTATTGTCGTTGCCACCTTGCAACAAGAGATGTCGCACAGCACTAGGCAAGCGACATGTCTTGACCTTCCCATTAGGCTTTCTTTGAACCACTTGAACCACATTACGCCCAATCAACTCTGATAGATACTCGTATGCAACATTTTCAGGAATTTTTGTTTTCTCATCTCCGCTTACTTGTGCTAATCCCTGTGCAACCCACGAAGCGACAATTCTCCTTGCAGGGATTTCAAAGTCCCTAGAGAAAAGTTGGAAGTAAGACAAACATTTACTCAGAATTTCGTCGAATTGCAAGTCTGCATTATTCACTTGCACAGTATCCAACCACGGTGTTCGGTTCTGTCCTTGAGTGATACGCTCAAGCTCCTTCAAATATTCCTCTGGTGTCGACACTTCCTTCCACGACAGTAGATACCCAACACGATTTACGGCAAGTGGTAAGCCTCCCCCTCTCCCTAAAACTTCCTTTGCATCAGTTTGCAGTTCATCAGGACAGTGATGCACTATCTGGGAAAAAAGATCCCAGCTCTCTTGTTTGGTTCGTAACCGAAGATGGTGGTGGTTAATGCTATTTTGGTCAGCATGTGACGCGATGGCCTTCTTGCATGTGGTGAGGACAATCCTTCTCTTGTTTGCCATTTCTGGAAATGCTACTTTAAGAGCATCCCAGGTTTCTGTTAACGAGACATTGTCTAAAACTAGAAGGTATCTCTCCTCCTTCAAGAAATCCCTCACTTTCTCAATCCAGTAGTCTTCCCTGTCCTGTTTCTCTTGCGTCTTCAGGACCTGGTTTCCAACAGCTTCCAATAATTCACTTTTGTCAAACACTTGAGGTACAGAGACCCAACGACGGACTCGAAAAAGGCGCTGAATGGTAGGGTGGTTATAGACTTCCTTGGCCAGAGTTGTCTTACCAATTCCCTTCATCCCCACAATGGAAATCACAGAGCGCTCTTTTCTGTTAGAAGTCAGTTGCGAGACCAGTTCATATACGTTTTCTTCCAGACCAACTACCGAGCAAGAATCCGCCCTTACCTCAATCGAATATACTTTTATGCATCTCTGAAGAAGATTTACTGCGTGCGTGATTCCCTTAATCTCCGAGATGGTGGTTACAAGCTCTGAGCCTTGGATGCCGGAGGCCTTTGAGTACTCCTCTGCTTCACGAGTCAGTTTCTTCAATTGCTCCAAGTAAGCACTTCTAAAATTAGGGGCATAGGCTTCAGTGGGTTTTTTTTTTTTTGGTCGAAGTCTTCAGTGGGTTTGGTATCTTTGAAAAGTTTATGCATGTGCTCCAACTCCTTGCTCATTGCGCTGACACACAAAGATAACTCTTTGCTTGTTTGCCGCAATTGAACGAGCCTGTCACGAATGTTGTCTACAGCTGATGACAAATGCCTGTCTGGAGTCTGATACTCAAGGGTTTGCTGTCGAGGAGATTTGCGGGCAAAATTTGGAGAGCGTCCTGTGATAAATTTAAAACCATATCTTTCCTTTGTTTCCAGGAGTGTGGAGATCCTAGTGCCAACGGACATTATTCCCCCCTTGAGCTTCCTCCTAGCCCTCCAATTACGGCTGAAATATACCCACCACCGTCTCTGTCGATTTGCTGCTATATTGATGTTGGCAATGTCATTTGTTGCTTCCTCAATCATCTTGCTTGCTTCGACCAACCATGACTTTTCCATCTCACTTTCTAGCTGTAGCAATTGTAAATCTTCCATGAAAGAAGGCAGCAGCTCTACATGCATCCTGATGGATATCACTTGCTCCACCATGCCATCCATCAATTTTGAGTTTCCAATGATCAGCTCCATTAGGGATGACACCAACTTAGCAGCTCCTGAGCTAACACACAGCGCTGGTGTCTGAACAGATTGATATTCATCAATCTCATCAACAATGGATCTGGCAAGCAAGCTTCTAACCTTGGACCTTGACTGCTCCAATGTTGCACGGATGTCCCTTGCGCTTACTTCCTTCTTCCCTTTGCTTCTCCTCCTCCGGCTCATCCCAAGGTTGTTATTAATCATTTCCTTGATCCGCCTCATCCCACGGGCAACATCAAGCATGGGCAGCAGATGATCAGTTATTAACAAAAAAACAAACCACTTGGAAGAGTTGCTTCGCTCTCTCAGTTCTTCGAAGCTCTGAAGGCACCAGGTTGCCTCCGAAACCACTTTTCTTGCATTCGTTATCCAGCTCTGCTCCGTTTCATTCAGTCGTAGAGTAATTCCAGCCTGGATGAGTTGATCAGAATCCAAAAACTGACTGGCTTTCCGTGTAATTTGATCCTCTGACCTCAAAACTTCATCATAATCTTTTAAAAGTGCTTCCAACAACCTCGATTCTCTTTCAATCCACTTATGTTTTGCGTTTGAGTATGCAAAAGCAATTGCCCTTGCGACGCTGCAGAGAAGGTAAAAAACCAACAGGACGCAAGAGGTGACAACTACAATGGCCATGGGTTGCTCTGCTCTCCTCTTCTTTGGCCGATGCTCTTCTCCTTTGAGGTTGTCAAAATGTAGCTGCAACTTCAAACAGATGAAGTTGCTCAGAGATTCTCAAAGCTTCGCCATGATGGAGAAGACACTGGGTATTTCAATTTGCCGGTGGTCAATGTGGTGGATAAACAAAATTGTTACTCCTCAAACAGTAAGGAGAGGATTGAATATTGATGAACGACAATGAGTGGCTTTGACTAAACTTTGGAGTTCAAGAAAAAGGTCTCCATTGATAGCTCTAGACATAACTTACAAGGATATGCCCACAATTCCAACAGTTTGCTAAAGAATTTTAGAGAAGTCAATAGTAAAAAATACTAACACTCAACAAATTTGCATATTTTTTAAATTAATAAGAGAAAATTGTATTCATAATTCAGCCACAAAGAGCTACTAGTCAACCGAATATAGATGCATTTTTTTCTTTTTCTTTTCTAAGAGAGAGTTTATTTGTATTTCCATTACGGAAAACAAGTTAACTATCTCAAGTCCCCACATTTGAATTTCCCCTCCCCGTTGATTAAAAAAAAATATTCAAATTTAAAAAGAAAAACAGCCTTTTTTTTTTATTCTTCTTATAAATAACATTAACTATTCTTCTGACCAAAAAAAAAAACAATATCTCTTCTAATAGGTTTCTTTCTATTCATCAATGAATTAAAATAACTTAGTTCAACACTAGTAATTTATGTATGATATAGAACTATATTGAAACATTATAGAAGTACACTATTTATTTATTGTTATATTTCTCTCTTGTTGACTTTTAATTTCAATTATAAATTGTACTAATGTTGGTGCGACCAAGATAAATTTGTCATGTTCGTGCGTTCATACCTACATGTCATGGTCGTATTGCTGTGTTTTTTTCTTCAGCAGCTGAAAAACAACCAAGGAGACGTAGGAAAGAATTGTCCATATTATAAGACCATCTAGTCTCAAACACAAGGACACCCGTTTACTAAAAACTCACTTAAATTGTCCCAAATGCCCTCTAAATTAAAAACCAAACAAAAAGTGCTAATCGCCATGCTCTTCCAAGCTGTTGGCAGAGTAGTGAGCACAAGGACACTGCCCTTAAGTGGGCTAAGCCTCACTCTCCCCCACCCTACCCTCAAACACAAGGACACCGGCGCTTAATGGATTTGCTTTATTGCAGCAGTTTTTTAGGGTTTGGATACGTACATTTCATGGAAAACAATTATAAAAAATATCATGTTTTATATGCACCCTCACTATAGATTTATTTTTGTTTTTTTACTCTCTTTTTGTTCATTTCATTTTCTTATTATTTTTGTTTGATAAAGGTATAAGGGAAAGCAAAGTTAATATAGGCAAGTTTGTGGTGTGGGAAGATAGTCTGGCTTGCAATTTTTCTGGAGCTTGTGCTCAAGGAAGGCAGAAGCACATATGCTGGTTTGCAAGAAAGTTTAATCCCCACATCAGATGCGGAGCAACAGTATTTATTCATTTATGATACGAATTTTCAATTAATAATTATTATGTCAAAAAATTGCCTTTAACCTTCTTTATTTTTATTTTTTTTATGAATTTATGACAGGATTCATAGGCATGACTGAGTTGACCCAAGTTTGTTTTAGTGCTCCTACTGTTTTGGGTTTTGAGATTTAATTTAAGTGAGTTTTTGGCTATTTTTTTTTTTTAATTTTTTTTTTACATTTATAAATTTGGGGGCTAAATTTTAGCTAAATTTGATAAATAAAAACTCTATTCTTTGATTTTATATGGATACTGAATATATAGTTGTTTTGTATCATCGTGTTACATTAATGTGACATATATATATATATATACATTAATAAATTTCACAAAGTAGGTGTGCAATTGCCTAATCTTTTATCAAGTGAACACATGAATTAATTTTAATAGATTAACGTGCTTGAGAGTTGAGACATAATGACTAGATCAAACTTTTTATTATTCATAATGACTATATCATGCAAACTTGATTTCGTAAGATAATATCTTCCACATTATAGTAATGACAATTGGGCGCTTCCAATAGATGCCATTTTCAAGGTTATAGTTCACACATTGCACAGCTAAGACTCGATTAAAATAATTTTGATGTGAGTTCTGTCTTTTGTTTAATTGGATCAACCAAGCTACACGTTGGCAATTTTAAATAACATTTTCAAGAAAAACAAAAAAACAAAGACTAAAGTGTAAAAACCAAGGACAAAATGGATGGAAAAGTTTGCAACAAACAATTGGATATGTGTCTCATTTGAATCAAAATCTAAAATTTATTTTCTACAAAAACTTGATGACAAAGAGGAGGTACACAATGTGGTATAAAAATATGGTGAGTTTAGCATTTTCTTTACAAAAACTTGATGACATATAGCATTTTCCTAGCATTGTGTAACTAGGGGTTTCGAACCTCTGTCCACATGAATGAAGGTGGAAGATCTCAACCAACTATACCCCAATGACAAAAAAATGAATCATGTAGAAGAATGTGGTCTTATGGATAATAAATATACAAGGAAATCATAAGAGGTATATTATTTGCTGCAATTGGCTATGTGGAAGTTTGATCTAGTCATAACATTAATTTATTGAATTTTGAGTAGCTTACATCACAAGTTTTCATGCAAAGTCATTGTTAATATCAAATTGCAAGAAAATGCTACGGTATGGCTCGTTTTGTTATCTCTTATAAAGTTGTCATTCGTTGGGTTTACAAAGCCTTCTAATTTGGTTTAGGATATTCTTATTGAGGACTTAAATTTTTTACTGATTATAGTATTGTTTTTTCTAAATAAATAAATAATAAATGTTAACCATTTTCGATGGCATGTGTTGCGAAACTAACTAATAAGAGCATTTCTACTCATTTGTCACGGCAAAAGGTAAGGGGAGGCAAGGGTTGGTACTATTCACATGAATATTGTCTGTCCTCACAATTTTTTTGTTGGTTTTCCACCTATTGACATGGCAACCCAAGGGCAACCACTATTCACATGAGATATGAGGGGAGGAATTTGTATAGAGTTTTGGTGTGGGAAGTGAAGAATATGGTAAGCTATTTATAAAAATAAAATAAAATAATTCTAAATTTTTTGGTTTTTTTTATTTTTTATTTTTTAAGTTTTTTTCATTGCTGACGTCATCGTTGACGTCACAGCCCTCAGGCAACAGCTCGGGCTGTTCTTGCCTTCGGGCCTGCCAGGGCTTGTGGAGCCCACGCCTTGCCTGGGCTATTTTTTACCGTTGGAAACTGCTTCTTGGGTCTTGCCTGGGCTGGGGGGGG